TCTGGTGGTCCCCCCCTTTCTATATGCACCCTGCCCCCCTCCACTGTATACACACTTGTCCTGTCCTCCCCCTCTATATATGCCCTGGGCTTGGTCCTTCCCCCTTTTTTTGTAAAAGTACTCTACAAAACAGAGCCTTTGAGCATTCCCCGGCTCAAAAGAAAACATAGCATAGAAGAACAATCCCAACTGAAGTCACAACTCCGGTACCCCTCGATCAACAGAGTAGCAGCATCCACATGACCAAGGTAGGCAATCAGGAGCTAGAAGTTAGGCCCTTTCATGTTGAATAGGCACATATCAAATTTCAGAAATATAAGTAAGAAAATTAGGAGTATAATACGATAAATAATAAAGTGCAGTGTGAGCAAAGTATAGTCCCAGGGAGATGCTAAAAGGTGGAGAGGGGGTACATGGGGGGGGGAGGGGGGCTGCCAGGTCAATCCGGGCATAGTGCCTCCCCCTCAAGGAACATAGGATGCACTCACCTTTCACCTTAGTCAAGCACAGTATCATCTTTAGCATTAGTAGTAGAGGAAAATTTGATCCAAATTTCCCAGACCTTATGGAACTTTTTGGGCAACCTCGGGAGAGATATGTCAATTTTATACAATGGGGCCACTGAATTTACCAGTTTCTTCCAGTTTTCTAAAGTAGGGGGTCTATCCAATTTCCAAGCCAGAACAACGGCTTTCCTAGCATAAAAACAACAGTAGACCCAAAAGTGTTCTGGAGGCCCTAGAAAAGGCTACATGATTGACCAAGCCCAGGAGATAAACAGCCAATGTTTCAGGGACTGAAATTGTGGTTAAAAGCAAATACACTTTAAGACATCAGCCTAACATACTTGTATATGGGAACAGGGCCAAAAAACACGAACAAAGTCTGCAGCTATGTCTCTGCACTGTGAACAATTAGATTCCACTGTGGGATAAATACGATATAGTCTCTGCGGTGTATGGTAGGCCATGTGAAGAATTTTAAATTAAATTAGTCCATCTCGTGTGGCCACCAGTTGAGTAAAGGGGTAATCCCAGGCATCCTCCCAATCCTCTCTGTCCAGATCTGACACTTCTACCCGCCACTTGAATTGTAAAAGCTCAAGACCAATGTGCACTGATGGCTGTAAAGCCTTGTAAATTTTGGATAAAGACTTTGCCAGATCAGCATCATGTAGTAAAAATTCTAAATCATTTTGAAGTAGGTTAAGTGTAGAGTGTCCAATTTGGGAGAAGTAGACATGGCGCAGTTGTAAAAACCGGAAGAATAAGGAATTAGGGAGATTATGGTTTTGTTTTAGCTTATCAAACGTAATTGGGGAACCGCTGTCACAAATGTCCGCTTATATACGTCAAGCCCATACAGAGAGATCAGGGATAGTCAAGAATTCTGGGAGTTTTGGGTTAAACTAGAGAGGAATATGCAGGGACCAGAAAGCAGAGCTGAAGCGCCACTTTAAAGACCATCTCCAGCACATACAGTATCTCCCAGAAGTGAGTACACCCCTCATATTTTTGTAAATAGTTTATTATATCTTTTCATGTGACAACACTGAAGAAATAACACTTTGCTGCAATGTAAAGTAGTGAGTGTACAGCTTGTTTAACAGTGTAAATTTGCTGTCCCCTCAAAATAATTTAACACACAGCCATTAATGTCTAAACCACTAGCAACAAAAGTGAGTACACCCCTAAGTGAAAATGTCCAAATTGGGCCCAAAGTGTCATTATTTTGTGTGGCTACCGTTATTTTGCATCACTTCCTTAATCCTCTTGGCATGGAGTTCACCAGAGCTTCCCAGGATGCCACTGGAGTCTTATTCCACTCCTCCATGACGACATCACGGAGCTGGTGAATACCCTCAGCATCTTGAGCAAGGCAGTGGTCGTCTTGGAGGTGTGTGTTTGGGGTTGTTATCATATTGGAATACTGCCCTGCGGCCCAGTCTCCGAAGGGAGGGGATCATGCTCTGCTTCACTATGTCACAGTACATCTTGGCATTCATGGTTGCCTCAATGAATTGCAGCTCCCCAGTGCCGGCAGCAATCATGCAGCCCCAGACCATGACACTCCCCACCAACATGCTTGACTGTAGGCAAGACACACTTGTCTCTTGTACTCCTCGCCTGGTTATCTAAACCAAATAAGTTTCTCTTGGTCTCATCAGACCACAGGACATGGTTCCAGTAATCCAAGTCCTTAGTCTGCTTGTCTTCAGCAGCAACTGCGGACGAAGCCATGCAGACAAATTTGATGCAGTGTGCGGCGTATGGTGCGAGCACTGACAGGCTAACCCCCCACACCTTCAACCTCTGCAGCAATGCTGGCAGCAATCATACATCTATTTCCCAAAGACAACCTCTGGATATGACGCTGAGCACGTGCACTCAACTTCTTTGGTTGACCATGGCGAGGTCTGTTCTGAGTGGAACCTGTCCTGTTAAACTGCTGTATGGTCTTGGCCACCATGCTGCAACTCAGTTTCAGGGTCTTGACAATCTTCTTACAGCCTAGGCCAGGAGTGGGCAAACTTTTTGACTTGAGGGCCGCAATGGGTTCATATATTGGACCCGGGGGTAATTCCGGACCAAGAGCTGATGAATGATGTGTATGTGTCATCCATAGTAAGTATAGTAATATTCCCCCATAGTAAGCATAGTAATTAATCCCCCATATAGTAATTCATCCCCCATAGTAATTCATCCCCCATATAGTAATTCATCCCCCATAGTAATTCATCATAGTACCCCCCCATATATCCCCCCAGTAATTCATCCCCCATAGTAATTCCATAGTAATTCATCCCCCATAGTAATTCATCCCCCCCCTATATTAATTCATCCCCCCTATAGTAATTCATCCCCCATAGTAATTCATCCCCCCTATAGTAATTCATCATCCCCCCTATAGTAATTCATCCCCCATAGTAATTCATCCCCCATATAGTAATTCATCCCCCATATAGTAATTCATCCCCCCCCCATATAGTAATTCATCCCCCATATTAATAGTCCCCCCCTAGTCCCCCCTAGTGTCAATTCACTTACCTTTGCTCCGCGCGTTCCTCTCGCCGTGTTCCCGCGCCGTTCCGGTCTTCAGGGCGGACTGTGAGAGGAGCCTAGCTCCCCTCCCCTCACGTTCGTCACGCTGCCCCGCCTACACACATCCTGACAGCCACATCCGCGGGCCGGATTAAAAGGTCCGCCGGGGGCCGTAGTTTGCCCATTGCTGGCCTAGGCCATCTTTATGTAGAGCAACAATTCTTTTTTTCAGATCCTCAGAGAGTTCTTTACCATGAGGTGCCATGTTGAGCTTCCAGTGACCAGTATGAGAGAGTGAGTGATAACACCAAATTTAACACACCTACCTCCCCCATTCACACCTGAGACCTTGTAACACTAACGAGTCACATGACATCGGGGAGGGAAAATGGTAAATTGGGCCCGATTTGGACATTTTCACTTAGGGGAGTACTCACTTTGGTTGCCAGCGGTGTAGACATTAATGGCTGTGTGTTGAGTTATTTTGAGGGGACAGCAAATTTACACTGTTATACAAGCTGTACACTCACTACTTTACATTGTAGCAAAGTGTCATTTCTTCAGTGTTGTCACATGAAAAGAAATAATAAAATATTTACAAAAAAGTGAGGGCTGTGCTCACTTCTGTGAGATACTGTACCTGCAGTAGCCTTCAAAGCCCTGCTACTGAATCCTTGCCCATTCTGACAGGAAAAGCTTCAAAACTTCTTAGTTGTGTTGGAGCTTACCTGCCTACTGCATGTCCCTATTGGTTATTGGGGAAGCCCATCATAATAAGGGACCAGTAGGAACGTATGGGGAGGGTGAGGCAGAGTGGCAAGTGAACACCTTTCATCTAACGTAATTATCTCTTACAAAAGCCTCTTCGAAAAGCAAAATTGTGTTTTGTTTGTAGTGACTAGCTTGCATTTTGCTTTAAAGTGGTTTGTAGAGTGGGTAAAAGATTCCTCTCAATAATATACACTATTTTGAATAACAAAATTGTAAACCTTACACTACCTACAATGTTATGTAAACGTAAAAAAATGAAGCAGGACAGATGGTTGTAACTGACTAATAAAACTGATAGTATAATATAGAAGAGACAGTGTTTTTTTTAAGTGGGTTTTTTATACCTTTTTTTTTTTAAAAAAAGTTATTTTCTCCTGGTCCAGTGATTTTCAAAGGTTTGTTTATAAACCATCTTTGGGCACTGTTTTATACTTAATTTCATAAATGTGTGTTCTGTGAAACGGTAATCAGTGTCTAATAATCAATGTTAAAATTGAATTATTTGGGTGTATATTTGACACTACCTTTCAATCTTACCTCCAAAAAAAAATTTGATCATATTTCAGTAATATACTATAAAATAAGCTTTTATTATCTCTGCGCTTTTGAATTTGAATTGTAATCAGCTTTCTTGATGCTAGGTGCTTGCTTTAATGCACAATATGACATCATCGTTAATGATATAATCCAAGGCTAAGGTGATTCTAAACAGCTTTGATGCAATCTGAAACCTCTTTAAAAACTTGGCCAGCATGCTACCTTCGCTGCAAATGATTCTCTTCATATCCCAGAATTCTGCTTGCCTTTGTCACCATAGCTACAGTGCAACACATGTCTCTCTAAGTCATTGACTGCTAAGTCAGCATGGATCACTTTGCTTTTTCCACTCTGTAAGGGCTGCTAAGGTCTGTTGATGGAAAGACAAAAGTGAGTCCTCAAGCAAGGCATCTTGTGTTCCTTCTACAGAGCAGAAACCGAATGGATCCGGAAAGGGTTCAAGAACCAGGGACCTCTTTGGGCAGCATTTTACACCTAAGTAAATGAAGATCGGGGTTCGTTAAATACCTGACGTTGTTTTAAACTTTGGAACTGTTTCTCAGTCACAAAGGAAAAAATCTTGGTGCAAACCCAAAAAAGTGAATAGTATTGTTCTAATTTCTTATTTAATGGTTTTGAGAATGCATCTCGATGGAGGGGACTGAAGTTTTAATAAGCATGCGTGAAGACCCTAGCTTTCATGTTCGCTACAGGTAAGAAAGTATTTTGTACTTTTGTAGATGTAGTCATAGTTGCAGGAACAATTCTTGCTGTTCTAAAAGTTTTGAAATTATTTTAGTATTTATGATGCTCTTCTTTTTCTTTAATTCCCTGTTGAAATATTTAAATATTGTCTATTTAAATCCTTTTTACCCGCTTGTATGCCTTTCTTTATCTTTATTTTTCTGTTTACTTTTTTTTTTTTTTTTGTATGCCCTTTGCATTTTTTTCATTCTGCTATGGTTAATAAGTTTTCTTTTTCTCATACATCTTTCCTGTTGAAGGGTTGACTTCAGTAATAGCATGTGCATACATGTACACACATGTATTATAAATACTTGTGAGCTAATTCTTTTGTATTGCCTTTGCTATATGTATTTGTTTTATTTTGGTGAAGAATACAAATGATTCAGAATTCACATGCATTTACTTTTTAAATTTTTGTTTTTTTTCAAAGAATAAATTATTAATTTCCTGTACACATAGGAAAGAGTGGCATAAACCCACACCAAGTTATGCAAGAAAGTAAGGTGCTTCACACAACTTAAAACAATAATACAAACAGTTGTATTGAAAACAAATACACTGCTCAAAAAAATTAAAGGAACACTTTGAAAACACATTAGATCTCAATGGGGAAAAATATCATGCTGGATATCTATACTAGGGATGCACCAATATTTCGGCCGCCAAAACATATCAGATGCCGATAGGAAAAATTTAGACGATACAGGGGACTGTATGTACTGCAGATGTGAGGAGGTGGGGGGGGGGGGGGGGAAGGGGGGCGAAGAAAGGCAGGAGAGGAACAGTGTATACAGTGACTGGCTGCCGATATGTCAGTGCCGGTTTTTAAATGTAATTACCATCTTTTTTTTTTTTTCTTCATTACAGCTCAGAGAATGAGCTGTCACTCTCCCCAAAGCTAAAGAAAAACAAAGGGGCAGGGTCACTGGGTGACCCCACCCCTTTACTTCTTTTAGCCCTCTGAGAATGACAGCTCCTTCTCTGAGCTATAGTGAAGAAAAAAAAAGCCGACAATTGCATTTAAAAACAATGACGGTTTTTAAAATGTAATTACTGGCTTTTTTCCTTTTACTGTAGCTCAGAGAAGGAGCTGTCATTCTCAGAGGACTAAAGGAAACAAAGGGATGGGATTACCTAGTGACCCCGCCCCTTTTTTACTTTAGCTTTGGAGAGAGTGATAGCTCATTCTCTGAGCTATAGTGAAGAAGAAAAAAAAGCCGGTAATTAAATTTAAAAACCGCCACTGACATATACAGTGGATATAAAAAGTCTACACACCCCTGTTAAAATGTCAGGTTTCTGTGAGAAAAAAATGAGACAAAGGTAAATCATTTCAGAACTTTTTCCACCTTTAATGTAACCATTAAACTGTACAACTCAGTTGAACAAAAACTGTAATCTTGTAGGTGGAGGGAAGTAAAAATAAAAAACTAAAATAATATGGTTGCATAAGTGTACACACCCTTAAACCAATACTTTTGTTGAAGCACCTTTTGATTTTATTACAGCACTCAGTTTTTTTTGGGCATGAGTCTATCAGCATGGCACATCTTGACTTGGTAATATTTGCCTACTCTTCCTTTGCAAAAACACTCCAAATCTGTCAGATTGCGAGGGTATCTCCTGTGCACAGCCCTTTTCAGATCACCCCACACATTTTCGATCAGATTCAGGTCTGGGCTTTGGCTGGGCCATTCGAAAACTTTAATCTTCTTCTGGTGAAGCCATTCCTTTGTTGATTTGGGTCGTTGTCATGCTGAAAGATGAAGTTCCTCGTCATGTTCAGCTTTCTAGCAGAAGCCTGAAGGTTTTGTGCCAATATTGACTAGTATTTGGAACTGTTCATAATCCCCTCTACCTTGACTAAGACCCCAGTACCAGCTGAATAAAACAGCCCCAAAGCATGATGCTGCCACCACCATGCTTCACTGTGGGTATGGTGTTCTTTTGGTGATGTGCAGTGTTGTTTTTTGCGCCAAACATATCTTTTGGAATTATGGCCAAAAATTTCAACCTTGGTTTCATCAGACCATAACACATTTTGCAACATGCTTTTGGGAGACTTCAAAATTCTTTTGTACCCTTCTCCTGACTGATGCCTTTTTCCTTTAACAATGAGATCCCTCTGATGCTTTGGAAGCTCTACAGTTTGTGGCTTTTGCTGTAGGATGCGACTAAGAAAATGTCGGGAAAGGCCTACTAGGACAGCTGAACTTTATCGGGGGTTAATCAGAGGCACTTTAAATGATGGCAGGTGTGTACTGACTCCTATTTAACATGATTTGGATGTGATTGCTTCATTCTGAACACAGATACAACCCCAGTTATAAGAGTGTGTGCACACTTATGCAACAGCATTATTTTAGTTTTTTATGTTTACTTCCTCCCCTAAAGATTTCAGTCTATTTTTCAATTGAGTTGTATAGTTTATAGGTCACATTAAAGGTGTAAAAAAGTTTTGAAATTTTTTTACATCACAGAAACCTTACATTTTAACAGGGGTGTGTAGAATTGTTATATACACTGTAGTGACAGCCAGAGAGGGAGCCTCTCTATATACACTGCTCCCTCACTGTATACACTGCTTCTCTCCTGCCCCCTCCTTGTGCACACTACCCCCTCTACCCCCTACAAAGAGGACCTGTCACTTACATGCTATCACACAGGGGACTATTGGTCCCCTATGTGATAGCAATAAAATCATAAAGGTAGAAAAAAAAATACAAAAAAATATTGGAGCCTCCCCACCCCCACAAACGCAGACATTTCGGTTTCGGTTCGGTTTTCGGCCACGTACATTCTGAATTTTCAGTATCGATTTCAGCACCAGAATTTTCATTTCGGTGCACCACTAATCTACAGTGAAGGAAATAAGTATATGATCCCCTGCTGATTTTTAATGTTTGCCCACTCACAAAGAAATGATCAGTCTAAAAATCGAATTGTAGGTGTATTGTAACACTGAAAGAGAATAGCAACAAAAAAATTCAAAACAAATGCATGTCTAACAAATTATGCACTGATTTGTATGTTCATGAGGGAATAAGTATTTCATCCCCTTCACAAAACATGACTTAATACTTGGTGGCAAATCCTTTGTTAGCAATCACAGAGGTCAGACGTTTCCTGTAGTTGGCCACCAGGTTTGCACACGTCTCAGGAGGGATTTTGGCCCAATCCTCTTGGCAGATCCTCTCCAAGTCATTAAGGTTTGGTGGCTGATGTTTGGCTACTCTAACTTTCAGCTCCCTCCACAGATTTTCAATCAGATTAAGGTCTGGAGACTGGCTAGGCCACTCCAGGACCTTAATGTGCTTCATCTTGAGCCACTCCTTTGTTGCCTTGGCCGTTTGTTTTGAGTCATTGTCATGCTGGAACACCCATCCACGACCCATTTTCAATGCCCTGGCTGAGAAAACCCAAGATTTGACGGTACATTCCCCCGTCCATCGTCCCTTTGGTGTGGTTCAGTTTGTCCTGTCCCCTTAGCAGAAAAACACCTCCAAAGCAGACTGTTTCCACCACCATGTTTGACAGTTGGGATGGTGCTCTTGGGGTCATAGGCAGCATTCCTCCTCCTCCAAACACTTTGAGTTGATGCCAAAGAGCTCGATTTTGGTCTCATCTGACCACAACACTTTCAACCAGTCCTCCTCTGCATCATTCAGATGTTCAGTGGCAAACTTCAGACGGGCCTGGACATGTGCTTTCATGAGCAGAGGGACCTTGCGGGCACTGCAGAGTTTCAACCCTTGTCGGCATAGTGTGTTACCAATTGTTTTCTTGGTGACTGTGGTCCCAGCTGCCTGGATATCATTGACAAGATCCTCACGTTTAGTTCTGGGGTGATTCCTTTCTGTTCTCATGATCACTGACACTGTACGAGGTGAGATCTTGCATGGTGCACCAGACCTAGGGAGACTGACAGTTGATTTGTGTTTCTTCCATTTGCGAATGATTGTACCAACTGTTGTCACCTTCTCACCAAGCTGCTTGGCGATAGTTTGGTAGCCCAGTCCAGCCTTGTGTAGGTCTACAATCTTTTTTTTTTATAATTTAAATATTTATTCATTTTTTTCAATTAAAACAATACACATTTCCATAATTTGAAAATATAACATTACAATTTCTCTTAAAACACTAATTTCGTATCATTTTCATTTTCTCCCCATAACTCCCTTAACCCATAACCCTCCCACCCCATTACTATATACCCCTGACATCTGTCAGATCGACTTGTATCTCATATCCTCTGGATACCGAGGTTTGAAAAAGAAAAAGTAAGAAAGAAAGGCTAAATTACTATAATTTTCTCCTTTTCCCTTATCCTTTTCCCTTCCTTTCTTCTTGTCCTCTCTTTCCCTTTTCTTTATGCTTACTTACTCAGTACCTTTCTTTAGCTTTACTTTAAACTCCTCCCATTTCTCCCATTTCATATGATATGTCACCATCCTATCTTCCTGTATATAAAAGAGTTTTTTCCAATCTAGCAATCTGGTCCACTCTATTCATCCAATCCTCTTCCCTCGGTGCCTCAACTTTACGCCAAAACTTAGGAATCAGACTTTTTGCTGCATTTAGGTAGCTCAATATACCCAGTTCTTTATATTTATTTCCAGATAATATTGAATTATGGAAAAGACAGATTTCGGGGTCCAATCCTATCTCCATTCCAGTGATAATCGTGATTTGATTTATAACTTTTTCCCAATATATGTGTATTTTTGGACATTCCCACCATATATGATACATCGTGCCCAATCCTCCGCATCCTCGCCAACACCATGGTTGTTTCTCCTCCCTCATCTTGTGCTCTATCACCGGTGTAATTAACATACCACCTTGTCAAGCATTTAAAATTCATTTCCACTTCACGCATACTAATATTTTCGTTTTCTACCATTCTATATATTTTCCTCTGTGTGTGCTCTTCCCACTCCACTCCTAAATCCTTTTCCCATTTTTC